CCGTTTAAAAATTGTAAGAAGAATCGGTAAGAAGAATCGGTATGAAGCCTAATTTGATATTTTATTGACAAAAGGCCATGGTCGTTAACTTTTTCAACAGGCCTAGTTCTGGGCTACGAATGTAATTATTGTCATCGATGTCACATTTAAAAAAATAATATAGAATTATACCTACTGTATATTTTATTCGATTGCTCGACCTAAAATATGTATATATTATATTATATACCGGAATATAATTTGCAAATATTGGCCTACCGTTAAACCTCGAATAGAAACCCAGTGGGCCTTCATCTTTTTTTGGGATATTTGGATGGGCTTCTTTTCGAGACTGGTCTCTTTTCGAGATGGGCTTCTTTTTGAGATTAGTTTTGCAACCCCCCACCCCAAAGAAAAAGGGGTGGTGGTGGGGCTTATTTTCGAAAAGGATGCTGTAAGTTTTAGAATTTCTACACATTTTCAAACTATGGAATTCGAAATTCTGTTTAATATATTTTTTTTTTAATTTTAACCATACTAATAAAATAAAATAAAAATTGATACTGACATGCTATCATAATAATCAAAGATAACGTCAGTGTGAATACGAGTACCGGTACTATCTTATAAGTCCATTATCTTGATTAGAAACCCATGGGCTTTTTTTCGAGATGGGCTTTTCTTTTTCCAGATTACCTTTACAAAGTAAAGAGGGGGATTCTTTCCGAGATGGACTTCTCCTCGAGATTAAGTCCATGGGGCTTCTATTCGAGGTTTTACGGTATCTATTTTTAATATTAATCGATGATGACAAATTGTCTTTATGGTTGGATTCATAACCCATATGTTAAGAATAAATGTAATATTAAGGTTAAGTTATTAATTTTCTTTTGAAAATTAGAACGACAAAACGTTCTCTTTCCTTTTAACAAGGGTATAAATAAGAACCATTCCTATTTTTTTTTTTTTTTTTTTTTTTTTGGTTGACACTTAAATTGGCTTTAATTATTATCAAAGGTCTTTTGCAGTAAAAAAAAATCTTTAAATCTGGAGAAACTAAACTGTTTCGATATGTTTGTCACTGAAAGTTTATAACCCATGGTGTTGAGTCTTGATAAGCAATTCACTTTTTTTTTTTTTTATATATATGAAGGGGTTTTATATGGGGTGTATTCAGGCCTTTTATTTAATATTTATGGATATTCGGTAATATTTATGGATATCCATAAATCATTTATGGATGTGCATAAATCAAGTGGTTTATTTTATTGAGTTTTCTCGAATTGTTACTGATGTGTATTGGATACTGCACACTTATAAACTTATAAAGCGCCTTTCCTAATAATTACGATTACAGTAGAATTCTCTATTGTTGGAAACCCCTATTATTAAGGGGACACCCATATACAAAGACACTTTTTTGGCTGCGGACCAAGAGAAAATCTTTTAACACTGTAGCCAGTGTTCAGGGACACTCATATTAAGAGGATATACGTATTTCGCCCCAAAGTGGCTCTATTTCTATGGTTGCTCCGGTATGGTTGGCACTTACGTACAACCAGGGAGTCACTATTACAACTCCCTGGTACAACGAATCGATAACAATACAGAAAGATTCACATGTAAATTGTGACTGTAAATAAATGAATAGGCCAAGAGTGAAGGGAAAAGCCATGAAATTTGGCCCCCTAGGATTAACAGGACAAGCTGTACAGAATACACATGGCAAAATATAATGATTTATATTTTTATGAGTGCTTTTTTTTTTAAGCACACACAGACTGATTGTGTAGGCCTACCAATAACAATAAATACATTATTTTTATTTCATCATTATTATCATCCCCATCATTCTCCTCCTCCTCCTCCTTCTCATCCTCATCATCATCATAATCATCATCATCAAAAAGAATTGTCTATTTGTAAATTTAAATATACCGATACTCTTCTATTTATATCTTTTTTTTATATATATCATGTAGTTTGTATGCCAAGTGAAATATTTTTCTTTTTAGTTGATGTAATGACCAATAAAAGGTCTTGAATTTTGAATTATGTTTTTTAAAATATAAAAACAATTGAAATCTGTAATTGTGTAGTTATGTTCAGGGGAATTCTAAATTGTGGTTATTTAAATTAATTTAGATCTTATAATAAATCCTATAATCCAATGGCTTATCATAATCTTATTTTATACATCATTTACTTTCCTCGATTAAAAAAGTATAGCCGAATTCCATTTCCCACATGGATAAAGTAATTACCGACTGCTTGCGTATGTTTCCGGTCTTTACTCAAACCCCTAATCCAGTCTTTACTCAACATAAAGAGGGATTCCACCTTTGCTATGTAATGTGATGGAAAAGTTGTAACGACAAATAAAAAAAAAAATTAAAACATCTGTTTTATACCTTCAAGATTTTATCAAATTTAAACGATTTTTTAAAATTAATTTTTTACTTTCACTATCGCACCGATATGTATGTGATTACATGGTTGCATTTCTCTCAAATAGCATGAAGTATCATATGATTGACAGAATGTTGGAAATAAAAGGCAATAAAATATCAAGTGTATGACAAGTGGTATGATAATATTTTCAATCAAAATTATTTTAACTTCCTGGCAATACTCACATGCCAAATATATAATTATTGTGTTGGATGTGTGAATTAATAAGCGTTCAGAGTTGTTGAGAATTTGACAGCAAGTATTGACTTTTAGTAATTGTCACTTTTGTCACGCGTATAATATATACCTACGTCATAGCTCAAACTTAGACCTAAAAATAAAGAAAATAAGGATGATAATAAAGTGGCCAACGTTAACGTCATCATCATCATCAGTTACGTCATCCTCATCATCGTCATCATCATCATAATTGCCATCATTATCCTCATTATGATCCTCATCCTTGATTCTTATATACGTTCATATTGTCTCAATTATATTCATTGTTAAATATTATCAATATTATTTTATTGTTATTTATAAGGCATTATTATTATAAGTATGATATTAACAGATTATTATTATTATTATTATTGTTATTATTTTGTAAGTATATCATAATCATTATTACCATTATCTTTATCACACTATTAATCACATGACCATATTAATACTAAGATTGTTTCATTAATAATTGTATAACAAAATTAACATAAATGCTATCCGATACTAGCAGTATTGGTTACATCTAAAACGACACTTACAATTTAATCAATTAACGGAAATGTGATTCATTTCTTGTAATCATAAACTTATCTTTTAAACAAATTTTTATGAGGACTCCACATCGAAATATTTGTTAACTTTAATTACCAGCATATTGATTAGCATCATTTTATAAACGATGACGAAGTATTGACCCTATTTGACCTATTAAAAATTGAAGACAA